ATGACTCTCAAATTGGATCTTAACACCAGAACACCTGGGCACTTTCACCTTATACTTTATTTCCCTTTGAACTAGTCATGTCTAATTTCTCATTTTGGAATTTGCTCTTTCGGGGCTGACAAATTCCACCATTGTATCCTTTGTGACCTACCCAATGGTTTTGCCAAAAAAAGGCCTACTGAGCTGCTTCTATACAGATCACAGCAAAGAAAACCCTATGGGGCAGGTCTGCTCTAACAGGGGTTGCCATGAGTCTGAATCAACTTGACAGCAATGAGTTTCTGTGTAAACCTTGGCTTAAAAAGATCTGCCAGTTTCTGTGACTATGGGACAAGTTACTTCTGCCACCCATTTTCTTCCTATACAATTGGTAATAAATCACACAGCATAAAAAGAAAAAATGGAAAAATATCTATCATGCCCCCAAGAGAGGACAGGCTCTGGTGTTAGAACAACCTTCTTTCCTAGAACACATCCTTACGTTAGGGCTTACTGTGCATTCCTTCAGGATAGGGAGAGCATGATCAGAGCCCTGCAGAGCTTTTAGGGGTCAAAGAACAATTACCCTTTTTCATTTTACACTCCATAACATTTCATTTTAAAATTAATACACTTCAATCTCTAAACCAGAATCTAGGTGTTCTTAACCCAGAAGAGGGAAACATCACCTATCAGCTAGAGGGAGGTTCAAGTCAGTTTCATATCCTATGTGTGGAAGGTGAGTAACGTGCCTTCAACAGAATGGGAACAAATTCTTACTGAAACAGTAAGTAACTAACAGAGTTTATTCTGTAATCGCCCTGTAGATAGAGATGGCTCACTATACACACCATGGAAACAGAAGATTCTCAAGATCTACCCCAGAATTACCTCTTACCTCCTTTGATCTTTTAGCACTATCTCTTGACCCTAATGGAGGCTAGGAATCCAGCATTTGTTAGAGTAGTAACAACGTTCAAGAACAAAAGGAATCCACTTATCTGCTAAGGTAATTTCTGGAGCCCTCCTTAGACTTTGTTTTACCACCTGCATAACATAGATCATTTAAATTTCCTCCTACCTCCCCTATTTTTCCTGGGACTTGACTTGTTACAAAGCCTGAATTCCAAGGTTCCCACCATCCACTGCCATCACAACATTTCTGACTCACACGGACCTGACAGGACAGAGTAGAACCACCCCCAAAAGGTTTCCAAGGCTGTAAATCTTCACAGCTGACTGCCTCATTTTTCTCTTGTGGAGTGGCTGGTGGGCTTGAACCACCGACCTCCTGGCTAGCAGTCAAATGATTTAACCACCATGCCACCAGAGTTCCTTGAATACCAAGTTTAAGTCATGGCAATACTTCAAACTTACCACTTTCAGTACTCAGTTGATATGGGCCAGGCCTGGTGCCAAGAGCCCAGCATGAGTTTGAACTGGATGCTGAAACCTGGATCTACCACTACTAGTTACATCATTTGGGCACATATTCTGAGCCTGCCTTTCACCTGTAAAATGAGATTTATCAGCACTAAAACTACCACTCATCTGTCAGTTTGTCAGACTATGGTGGCTTGTGTGTTGCTATGAGGCTGGAGGCTATGACACCAGTATACCAAAGAGCAGAGGGTCACCCATGGTGGACAGGTTTCAGCAGAGCTTCTGGACAGACAGACTGGTGAGAAGAAAAGGGCCACCCACTTCTGAAAAAACTGGCCACTGAAAACCTTATGAGGAGCAGTGAAACGATGTCTGATACATTATTGGAAAACTTTATAAACAACTGTGAAACAGAGGGTCAGAGAAGAAGGGGAAGGCCCTCAATGAGCTGGATTGCAACAGTGCCTGCAATGATGGGCTCAAGTACACCAAGGACTGGAGGATGGTACAGGACCAGGCAGTGTTTCATTTTGTTGTACTTAAAGGAGCTGCTGGGAGCTCTGGTAGCATAGTGGCTAAGACACTTGACTGCTAACCAGACGGCTGGCGGTTCAAACCCACCAGCCACTCCTCGGAAGGAAGGTTGGGCAATCCTACTTCCGTAGTGATACTGCCTCGGAAATCCA